ACCTTAATTGCTATTTTTCCTTGGTGAGGCCGAGATTAGAATGAGGTAATGTCTAGTGAGAATCCGAAAGGTGAAAAATGAATATAGCTAGACCTCTTACTTTGCGAAAAAGGGAATGGGAGCCCCGGTCAAAAAGCGTAAGATGAGACTTGGGTATCTTTCGAAAGAAACGGCGTTCTCGTGCCAACATGACAAGGAAAACTAAACCATAATTAATGAACTTGGAGGCTATTGAAAAATTAGCTTTAGTCCTCCGCGTACTTCAAGTATACGTCAAAGCACAAATGTGTCGCGGCGGTTTAGCTTAGTTGTACGCCATGTCTACTCTTTGCATATGTTTAAATGATTATTCCTAATTTGTGGCCTACTGAGTTCCTTGTTCCTAAGAATAGCCCTGAAATTCCTATATACATTAAGTCTTTGTTAGAATATTCCTATCTCTCAAAATAAAGGGACTATTATTATTAACCATTCACCATCACATTCACAAGTCCTTCTGATCAGTAGCTAGTTTATTTGTGTATGCTGTCATTACTTTGAGGATGTTATGAATAATTGTGTCAAATAGTTTAGCTTGAGTACAAAGATGTAGTTTAGGGAAGAATCTTCTTGATTTAGATTGTCTGTCCTGTGAATATCCCTTTAACTACGTGTGTATGCTAACTATTTTAAATTCCGTGTGGTGATTATCGTAAGTCCCGTTGTTCGATTTGCTTGAGGACAAGCAAAAGCTTAAGTGTGGGGGAGTCTGATAAGTCCGTATTTAGACACGCATTTGATGCGTGTTCGGGTCGGATTTTGATGATTTTTCTGGCTTTAAGGCGTTGCAAGTCTCAATTTTGGCTCAAGTTGTGTTTAACAGGCGTTGGATCGAGTTTCATAGCATTTGGAGTTGATTTGAAGAAGTTAGAGTCCGGCAATCAGCGCTTGAGAGGCATTCGGGAAGGGTTTGAAGGCATTCGAGAGAGATTTGGAAGATTTGGAGACCACTGGGAGATTCACGACGAAATTCTAGTGAAGAAAGAGCATTTGGATCGATCTCGTAGGCATCCGGGAGCATTCGGAGCAAGAAAACGAAAGAAAAATGAAGAATAGGGTCAGGCACGGTCGTGCCTGGAGTTAAGCACGCCGTTCCTGAAGAGGAATCATCCTGGGAGCTACTGGAGGCCAGGCACGATCGTGCCTGGCAGCTAGGCACGCCGTGCCTGGCATTGATCAAGGAAACAAGCTACTGGAGGCCAGGCACGATCGTGCCTGGTAGTCAGGCACGCCGTGCCTGGACGCGAATTACGGGCATCTTCCGCAGGCACGGTCGCAGGCACGATCATGCCTGGCACCGTGCCTGGCCGCGATTTGTCCTAATTCGACCCGAATTCACTGTTTTCTATAAATAAGGCCTCCATAACCCCGTTTTGGGGGGGACGAACATTACGGAGAGGCCTAGGGACGAATTTAACACCGTTTTTACGCTATTTTCTTCCAAGACCCTGAGATTATTTGTAAGTTCAATTCGTTAATTAATGACAATTTATTCTATTCATCCCAATTCTTTTGATTCGTCAATTATGAGGCGTGAGTAGTTTAATTAGGGATTTGGGGTTGATGAAGGGGTTAATCATGATGTATGGCTAGATTCTTTTCGGTCTAATTGCATGAATGCCGTTTAATTTGTGTTTGAATAATTTAATTGATATCTCTTGTAACCTAGTTGGCCACTAGAATTACAATTGCTTATAGAATAAATTAAGAGAGATCTAATTTGTTCTAGGACACATTTACACACACTTACGCTATTTTCTTCCAAGACCCTGGGATTATTTGTAAGTTCATCTTCTTAATTAATGACAATTATTTCTATTCATCTCAATTCTGTTGATTCTTCAATTATGAATTGTGAGTAGTTTAATTAGGGATTTGGGGTTGATGAAGGGGTTAATCATGATTGATGGCTAGATTCTTGTCGGTTTAATTGCATGAATGCCGTTTAATTTGTGTTTGAATAATTTAACTGATATCTCTTGTAACCTAGATGGCCACTAGAATTACAATTGCTTATAGAATAAATTAAGAGAGATCTAATTTGTTCTAGGACACATTCACACACACTTAATCGTTCGCTAAGGGATTAGTAACGATTAAGGGGCCGTAAGCTCCCTCGTTTTGGCAATAATTTAGGATCTTGTCGCATGAGAGATCAGCCTGGACTCCTAAATTATTGTACTCTACGTCGCGAGAGCGGTAAGAACTTATTAATGATTAGCTAGGCTTAATTAAATTAAATTCATGTGATTAGGCCTGTTCTGCCAAAAATCTGGTTAACCCCGGAATCAATTCTTGTTCCCTTCGTCGTTAATTAAGGAAAACCAAATCTTTTTATTCGCTCATTAGCATTAGTTTTAGTTTAATCAATCAATCAATCTCGCACATATGCACTTTTATTTTATTTATTTCTTTTTAATCACTAAAGTTTAGTTAATCTTTATTTCCCTTTTGTCCGTCCCTGTGGAGACGATACTCGTACTTTACACCACTTTTCTACAACTATTTTAAGTGCGAGAAAACACACATCAAGAATGCAGATATGATTAGAGTGCAAAAAACAAATAGATAATGCTAAACTCACATACACCTTGTTATCAATGCCTTATGATAGAATGTCAATGTTATGTAATATGCTCAAAAGACATATGTTACAATCTAGGATTTGGTGGATTGTGCAAATGTGATCATGTCGAAAGAGCAACACCTTTTCAAAGATAGGATATCCTATATCATATTTAATTTAGATCAATTAGCCAATTACAGAGACTATATGTTTTTAGCTTCCCTTCAATTTCCTTGAACATCCACCTGTGTCTCAAAACAAACATATCATAAGGGTATCCCTTCACTAAGCCACCCCACAAGGATTTCATTTGTAAAGTTACATACTTCTTTCAAACAAAAAACAATTTTCCCATGAAATACTTTATTTTTTACCTACGATTAAAACACTGAAGCAACAATTAATAAAAGTTACACATGATAAATGTGCACGATTGAATTAAATATGGTTGAATTGTAAGTAACCACCCCAACAAAAGCATTTTTAGTGCAAGTTTTGTGCAAAAACAATATAGAGCTCATTTGGTGATTGTGCTTTTCGGTTTATCAAACTTGTCAGTCAACTTTTTAACCAAACACGTAACTTTTAATTTCCTGAATTGTGTAATAATAAGAAAAAGCAAGGTTGAAGTTATTTTTCTGAATGTATTGGATGAGAAGTTACTGTAGATGACCACTTTAGCTATTTTCACATCTTTTTTTCTTTATTTTATCAATAAAATATATTTTAAATATAATTATTCATAAATCAACAGAATCAGCCAATACACTCAGAACTTCAGAAGTTTCAGCATAATTAGCTGATTCCGCCGATTTCAGTGTTACCAAACAGACTCATAATGTAATTAGTTAATGTGCTTATCATTCTGAATAAAACTAAATATTGGAACTTTAGCATCACTATTGTCTCATCCTCCAATTTATATAATTTAATGTTGATTATTCGATAAATACGAAGTACAAATTATGCTCTTAAGAATTTTTTATATATAATAATTTGCTTTATCAATTATTCTCTAAGTTAGTGTACCTGAAAGCTAAGAAAAAGTCCGCTGTCATCATTTTTTAGAAAACTCAATCAACTTAAGTCTAATGGTTAGAGTAGAAACGAAAAGAAAACTAAAGACATTGGATAATAATAAAGCCAGTCACCAGCTAAAGATCCTATTAATCACAATAAATGGTTGCAATTAATATGAAATGCGAAAGAGCTTCAGTGAAACAAAACGGAGCAACTATTAATCCAAAAGAGAACGTTTTGACGGAGTAAGAAGGTTTATGATGAGTAAAAATTGAGAGTCCTATCGATTAAGCTTAGAGGCCAACCATGCGTTGTTTTACTATTACACCAACACTTTTTATATACCATTCATGCCCTTACTTTCATTGGTGTTTATAAGTTTTTAGAGATCCATGTGCAAACGGCTCAAAATACTTTGGACTACCCACCTCGGCTGGACCCTCGGCCAGACGAGGGTCGCCAACACTAGGGACAACCGGGACGAAGAGAATCAAGTGACAAACACATTAGACATGTATCGTTACACACATGCCCACGGTGGGCACCTCATCCTGGATCAACCCAGACAGAAGCCCACTCAAGGCAAAGGAAACAACAGGGATGAGTGCCCAAGCACCTCGTCTTGCCGGGGCACCTCTTCCACCAACTCGACATATCATCAGTGAATGTCACACTTCACATTCTGCCGCATAGGAGGGCTTTTGCCCATAGAATAGCTCACACTTGTACATGTATTTAATGCACATAGCATTTATTACTAGTATAAATACCCCTGGGGCAGATATAAACATTTTTTAAATCAATTATTATCATATTACTCTTTTTCTCTAACTCGTAACTTTGCCTTCTATATATCACAAGTACATAGAACCTTATAGTTTAATCAACTCTCCTCCCCACTCACTACTTATAACTCACAAGTCCCAAGTCACACGCACGTACAAAGAGGCCACAATGGATTGGATTAGCGAGAGAAAAAGAGTTGCCAAGCTCATACACAACTTTCCCCATATTAGATTAAAATAATCATCATATTTCTATATATCTCTTATGCCACATAGGATAGAAATAAATATAGACAATGTTTATTAATGTCTCCAGATGGCCGGACATTACACGAAATCGAGGAGCAAAAGTGAATAAAAAGTCGAATAAATGTGATATAAAAAATGAAAACTAAAATAAATATAGATAATAAGTTGGTGGTATTTATAAAATTTGTAAGATAAAAAATGGAATCCAGGATATTGTATGGGTTCGCACCAAATTTGAGGTGAAAAGTTCAAAAAAACATTTTCAGCCCATGGGTTCGCAACCTGCAGCCTAAGTTGACAAGTATATATATAGAACCCTATACTATACTCCAATCAACTTTTCCTCCCCACTCATAAGTCCTAACTCACACGCACAAAGACACCACAGCAGATGATCTAAGAGAGAAAGAAAGAAAGAGAGAGATGAGAAGCGCATCCCAAGCCACACTAGACCACATCTTGTTTCAGGAGGATCAAGATCATATGTCATCCCTGCAACAGCTTCAGTTTTTATGCTGCAATAATAATAATACCACTCTTCCATTTGAGACTCTAAAAACCCTCATCACACCCTCTCTTGCCCCACTGCCTTCTCTCCATGAATCTTCATCCCCTCATCATAATAACCTTCATCAAAGAGACGGCATATCTTCCCACTTTGGAGCACCCCAACTCCTTTCCTTGCAGAGATCCACTCCATACTTGTGGTAATTAATTAATTTCAGAAATTATATATAGCTACCTATTAAAAAGCCAATTAAGGGAGTGATCAGAATTTCTTTTCTATGATCTGAGTTAATTTTTTTTTAGTTAGCTAGGCTTTTGGTCTGTTTATTACTCCCTTCCTCCCTTAAAATTCTTTCCTTGTTGGGACGTTCCAAAAAATTCTTCTCATTTCCCTTTTTGGAAAGTTTCGTGTGGCTATCATTCATTTACCGTTTTCTTACGCAACTACATCTATTCATACATTTTCACTTTATTCTCAATTTCTTAAACTCTGATCCAAGTCAAACCGGCAGTTTGCGGGACGGGGGAAGCAATTAATTAGTTTACTGGCAGCTTGCTAAGCTAATTAGGTTCAGATTTAATTTTCTCATATATTCATAGCAGTTAATTAAATTTGCATGTTTATTTGCTTGTATAGAATTGGAATAATAAAAAGCGCATGATTTTATAACTTGAAGAATATTTGTGTGTGTTTTCAATTCTAGGGAATGGGAAGAAATGAATGAGTGCATAAAGAGGAGTAAGAAGTTGGGGGTGACATCATTAGGAGCAGCAGCCATGAAGATGAAGAAGTCAACCAGAAGGAAGGTGAGAGAGCCAAGGTTCAGCTTCAAGACCATGAGTGATGTGGATGTGTTGGATGATGGGTATAAGTGGAGAAAATATGGCCAAAAAGTTGTCAAGAACACCCAACATCCCAGGTTAATTTATTAATTAGTTGCTACTATACATATAATTACTGTTTCATTCCTATCGATCTTTAATTAATTAAAATTACAATGGACAACCTTAATTATATTAAAGCTATATATGTGAATTTCAATCACAAGTCCAATAACACCTATACAATCAATATACCTAGCAAAGCTAGCTAGCTTTGTCATTTTACGTAGTACTCGAGTACAGGAGTAGTAAATTTATAATTAAACTTGCTTTAGTGGGTGTTTGACATATATAGGAGTAGTTAATCCAGTTAAACTGATTGGTCTTTGATAAATTAATACTTTGGTTTAGTGTATACACCTTATCGAAGGATTTGGTTGTTTGCTCGAAAGCCAGGAATTAATAAAAATCAATATTCACGATTTTTAGGGTGCAATTAAACATGTCCAAAAACTAATTACATGGAGTGATCGACTTTCCGCCTTTTAGAAAATGCTTAAACTTTTATGGATTTTTTTTCGAAAATATTGTTTAGAGATATATTATTCCGGCCCGTTACTGTTCAGGAGTCCAAGACTATACGTAGTACAGAGCCCGATCAACGGGACCTATTTTTTGCCTATTAGGCCCATTTCGGCCCTTCCGGCCCATTAGATTAGGCTTTTCCCCTATCCCTTTTTCCCTATAAATAGCAGGCTTTCCCTCCATGTAAAGGGACTTTTGGTTGGCAACTTATTAGCCTTAGCATTCCTAGCATATAACTCGTAGCTCTTCGACTGCAGTATAGGACGAATGGTCTTCAGCCTTAGCAAGTGTAATGTATCGGGGCGTTATTCATCATTAATAATATCCGATCCTTTATTTGCTCATCATTCTCTTAGCTCATCTTACTTGCTGTTGGATCAGTTAATCATTCGCACTAAAACAATCCACTCGAAATCATTGGGCTTACGTGTTGGATCCGAGGGTTGAAGGAATAAACTTCAACAAATATTATAAAATGAACATAAGTGAATATGATTTCATTATTACTCTAGTCACTAGTCACATTTTTATAAACATCATTTCTTTTAGTCATAAATATATATGTAATTACATGGAGTGATGGACTTTCCACTTTTAGAAAATGCTTAAACTTTTATGGGTTTTTTTTCAAAAATATTATAAAAACATACTTAGTTATAAAAATATGACTAATAGTTACTACATTAATGTAGTGTCATAGTAACCTAAGTTTATAAAATTAAAATAAGTTACTATGATTTCATTACTACTCTAGTCACTGGTCACATTTTTGTAAACATCGTTTATTTTAGTTATAAATATGTAATTATTAGTCACATACTAATTGGAATTACAAATCAAATAAAACATTAAATCACTTGCAACCTGTATATGGAGTGGTTTGTGATTAAAATCAAGAGTTTCACCTAAAATAATTTAAGATGCGTTGTATTTGTTGGTTGAGGCATATATATCGGAGGAGATCGGAAGAGGACTTGGAATGTATGTAACGCGAAATGTGAAATCAGACATGCGGAAATCATTATTTTTAGACAAAAACTGGCCAGGGAATTTTGATAAAAGTTCCTTAAAACGTTTATAAAATTGAAATAATTACATATTTATAATTAAAATTAAGATTGTTTAACTTACTAATGACTAGAGTGTAACTTATGTTCAATTTTTACTTCCAAGTGACAATGACACCATACTCATATATACTAAATTTAGACATATTTTGTAAATAAATTTTATTTCAATGATTTTTTTTAATAGTTCCACAGTCCTTATGTTTCTAATTCTATGTGTCTAATTTTTTTTCAGCATTCAGAATATTGATTTTTCACAGTTAAAATAAAAATCAAGCAAAAAAAGAAACAAATGATATGCAACGGTAGTTAATTAGTTATTGATATACTTTCATTTTCATTAATCTCAATATAAACATAACACACACATTAGAAAAAAATGGTCATATGTAAAATAATTAGCCAAATCCAACATGAATATAATACGGAGTACTATTTATGATCGATATATAAACAAATAAATATTATTGAAATTAGAGTATAAAATTATCCAAATCAAATCGAATAGCTTAGACAAATATATGTATTTGACTCATGCATTCAGATTCATTTACGAACTCAATCATAGAGCTGAGGAAGTATGTGTTTGGATATTTATTATATTAGCTTCATACATGTGAATGAATGTAATATAATAAACGATTGATGGGATGAAGGTTAACTGTAGAGAATTTTAAAACTAGTTGTAAATTAAGGAGAACTTGAGATTCAGAAAGAAACGATTAATTGAGAACTTATCTTTTTGAAAGAATGTGGCTTATATTAAAATAACAAATTGAGAGTTTATCTAAAATTAATTTCTTGATAAAAGTACCTTATAAAAAATGGTTTAATCTTAAACACATAAAATGACCTAGAAGAGTCTAGGTTCACT